TCTCTTCTCCCATCCCAGGGGGGGGGGGGGGGCTGTGTAATTTGATATTTTACAGAAAGAAGATAACATCGTTGTCTTTGAGTTTATCTAACAGGAAGTGACGAGGACACGGCCTTTCTGTCTGAATCAACAGGGATTTTCTGTACTTGCTGAAAATGTTCTTAGCCTGGAAAAAGAAAACGAATGCGGCCACTACCACTAGAGACTGTTCATCTGCAATCTATGACATTTGTGTTATTGGTTTTAGTTCTTCTTTAACCTCGATGGCGGTATGATTATCTCAGTATTTTTTCTTTCTACTTTTACTTTAATTTCTCTTCTATCTCCTGGCTGGTACCCTCTTCTCCATCCCAAACAAGACGATCTGAAATCAATGGGTGCGCCAGGAGGAGGCGGTGAGATGCAGGAACCTGTAATCAGAGCATCCCAGGAGGGGCCCGCCTGACAGATGGAAAGCTTCAATGCCTTTATCTGCCTGCCTGCTTACTTGTTTTCCCCTTCGTGGAGATACAAAAGGCTTCCAGCACAGCAAGCCAATTATCATCGTATAAAAGGCAGCCCAATGCAATTACTTAACTGCAACACATTACAGAGCTAACACACTTGAGGAGTTGGGTTTTAATTGGCTTAACCTCTATATATAGACATGTGTCTTTACAAATACGATTAGAGAGTCGAGAACTAAAGAAGAGCTAAGGAGTAACCAAAAGAAGTGCCAATACAATATTATATATAACCGTATTCATGTGTGTGCAAGTATATACTGTATGTATACAGATCGATATTATATGACCAAACGCTTGTGGACCATCACACCTACATGAGCTTGTTGGACATTCCATTCAGAAGCCAGGAGGTAGCGCTTGGCCTTATTCCCAACACACCTTCTTCTATGGGTCATCGTCAGAGACTTTCCTAGCATTGGGGCCCTACTCATAGCTACACTAGATGGCCAAACATTTGCAGACACCTGACCATCACATCTATGACCTTCTTGGACATTCGTTTCCCAAACCATGGCTTTAATGTGGAATATGGAGTTGGCCCCTCTTTGCGGCTATACCATCCTCCATTCTTCTGGGAAGGCTTTTTACGTGATTTTGTGAGGTCAGGATAACTGATGTTGGTTGAAAAGACACAATTGGCATTCCAATTCATCCCCAAAGGTGTTCAGTAGGGTTGATGTCAGGACACTTGAGTTCCTCCACCAAACTGGTCACACCATGTCTTTATGGAGCTGGCTTTGTACACATAGGGCAGTCATGGTGGAACAGAAAAGGGCCTTCCAAAAAGTGCATTTGTTGGTATTGGTGCCCATTGAGCCAAAAGAGCATTTGTGGGGTTGGGTACATCTCTTGGATGAGAAGATGGCTGGTGTTCAGTTGGGTTGAAGTCAAACCAATTATAATGGAATTGCCCCCATTTCTCCCCATACTATCAATATTGAGGTGCCCCCCTTTGCAGCTATACCATCCTCCACTCTTCTGGGAAGGCTTTACACGAGATGTTGGAGGGTGTCTGTGGGAATGTGTCTAATTTATGAGGTCAGGTGCTGATGTTGGATGAGAAGACCTGGTACACAGTGTTCCAATTTATCGCAAAGGTGTTCAGTAGGGTTGAGGTCGGGGCTCTGTGCAGGACACTCGTTCCTCCACCTAGCTGGTCACACCATGTCTTTATGGAGCTGGCTTTGTATACAGGGGACAGTCATGGGTGGAACAGAAAAGGGTCTTCACCAAACTGTGACCACAAGGCAGGAAGAGCCCAATTGTCTTGTATATATGATGTACACATAACAGAACCGTCACTGTAGACACCTGAACTCCATCATTAGGAGGCGGGTTTACATATGTTTGCCATGTAGTGTCGGTGTGATGGGCAGCTAACAGATGTTTTGCCCATATAGTGTACAGTATGTATGCTATCAATAGAACCACCCAGCAGCAAATTCTATAGGAAAAGCTACAATCACGTATATAAAACTTGGACTGAAATGTATCAAAACCCCAAAAACAACAATGTCATACATTGAAGTATACCGGCCCTCAGCTGTGGTAGCTGCATTCGTTTTCTTTTCTCCAGTCGTTTCCCTTTATTTTCACCTGATGATCCTACAAACAACTCACTTCCTGTCCCCGGGTGGCAACACTCACTCCTCCACTGTATGTATAGATAGTTGCCACCAAGGCCGGGCTGCAAACATGTCTTCCTCTCTATCGCATGGGGGGGGGGGGGGGGGGGGATTTTATTGTTTAC